TTGAGTTGGATCTGACTCATAGCGACACCTCCTTGGTTTCTGAGACAGTATCACTACGGAAGTAGATTGCCCAACCTTCCTTCCGAGGAGCGGCTGGTGGGTTTGAACTGCCAACCTTCTGGTTAGCAGTCAAATGCCTTAGGCACTGCACCATCAGAGGTCCTACCCAAACAGAAAGAAAACAAAAATCCTCACAACTGGACTAATAAGCAGAGTCATGATAAATGGAAGAAAGATTGAAATTGTAAAAAGATTTCATATTACTTGAATTCACAATCAACACCAATGGGAGCAGCAGTCAAGAAATCAGATGTTGTATTGCACTGGGCAAATCTGCTGCAAAAGACCTCTTTAAAGTGCTGAAGAGCAAAGATGTCTCCTTCTAGACTAAGGTGCACCTAACCCAAGCCATGGTGTTTTCAATCACCTCATATGCATGAGAAAGCTGGACAGTGAGTAAGGAAGACTGAAAAAGAGTTGATGCTTTTGAGCTGTGGTGTTAGCGAAGGATATTGAAAGTACCATGGATGCCCTTGGAAGTGAGAATGGCCAGACTTCGTCTCACCTACTTTGGTCATGTTGTCAGAAGGAACCATTCCCTGGAGAAGGATATCATGCTTGGTAAAGCAGAGGATTACCAAAAAGGGAGGAGGCCTTCAATGAGATGTATTGACACAGTAGCTGCAACGATGGGCTCAGGTATAGCAAGGATTGTGATGCTGGCACAGGACTGGGCAGTATTTCATTCTGTTGTACATAGGGTCACTATGAGGCAGAGCTGACTCAGTGGCATCTAAAAACAACAAATTCATCCCATATTCAAGGGGAAAAGAATTAAGTGTATCAAAGAATCAAAAGTATTAAAAAGTTTCAAAGAGTATCTTTAACGCTACCATGTACACTCCTGGGAAAGAAGATCGGGCAATCTACTTCTGTAATGATACCACCTTGGAAACCCGAAGAGGGGTCGTTATGAATCGGATCCAACTCGACAGCAGTGAGTTTGGTTTTTTGATTATACATGACCTATTTTTTTACATAGGAGACTATCTTTTTTTTTTTTCTTTACCCCTAAAATTCAGAAACTTCATGGAATCATGTCTTGGTGTGATCTTTTGAGGCACAAATCCAAGTATATCTTTACTTTATCAATATCTTCTTCTATTATTTCTTTAGATATTGTTTCCATTTTATTTGTTCTGTTCTCTTTTTCAGAAAAACCAATCATGCATATGTTAGATTTCCTTTGCTTTCACATTTATTATCTCTATAATTTTTAAAATAATTTTTCCATTAATTTGTGTTTCTTCTCATTTATTTACCATGTCTATAACTGTGCTTTCAGTTGTGTTTATTCTATTAGCATTATTATGTATACAACAATTTGTATATATTTGTAAATGTATTTTATTTGCTCTTTTAATGTAGTTTACTGCTATATATTATCTTTATTTTTCCTTTTCCTTCCTGGAATCTGTAGCTTTCTTTAAATCATCTGATTGCCTTCTATAGGTTCATTGTCTCTTCTTTGAAAATTTGTACCTTTTTCTTGATCTCCCATCCTTGTTTATTTGTGTTGTTTACTCATAGCAACCCCTCCTTGGGTTTCCGAGGAGGTATCACTATGGAAGTAGATTGCCCAATTTTCCTTCTGAGGAGTGGCTGGTGGGTTTGAACCGCCAGCCTCTGGTTACCAGTCAAATACCTTAGGCACTATGCCACCAGAGCTCCCATGATTTCTCTAGCTTCTTTGAAATGACAGAGCACTACTTGTGTGAATTCTTCCAATGCCTATTTGAGTGATTTGTCTGGGGTGTATGTATTTCATTTATAATTTGTTTATATGCTCCTTTTCTCATCCTTTTTGGTAGCATTTATGCACACATCTTGCAGTGCCACCAGTAGCTGTCAGAGATTTATATTGACAATCTAACCAGAAGGCTGGTAGTTCAAACCCACCAGCCACTCCTCGAAAGGAAGATTGAGCAATCTACTTCCATAGTGATACTGCCTCGGAAGCCCAAGGAGGGGTCACTCTGAGTCGGATTCAACTTGACAGCAGTGAGTTTGGTTTTTTGGTTTTTCTCACAAGGGACATGTACGACTGTTATGGATGAAAGACAAAGTGTAAGTGGGTAATGCTGACACAAAGAAGCTGCTACCTCATTTTCTCACCACATTTTTGAGCTAAGGGAAGCCACAAGCATACAATTTAGTTCATCATTTGAGCAGAGTATTATTGAGTATTGAGGAGGGAAATTCACTCCCTCCCCTCCAAAGTATGGAGGCAGCAAAAGGGCAGGCTGAACCTCTCAAGAGAAAGAAGAGCTACCCTTCCCTTCCCCCATGGAGTTGATGTATCCAGAGGTTCTGAGGGTAATGGAAGTGACTGCTCAAGTGGAAACTTAAAATTATGCCAGCTGCTCTCCTGTCTATGAATGGAGACCTTAAGTCACCTTGGAACAGATTCACCTTATTATCTCTGAGTGGTTTCTTTAAGTTATATAAATGAAAGGCAAGATGGTACTGCTCTTTTTTCCTTCCTTTCCTTTTTTTTTTTTTTTTCTTTGAGAAAAGATATAAATAGACTCTTGCTTTCTTTGGCTTGCCCCTCCAAAGAGTCCTTAATATACAGAGCCAGGGAGGAGGTGGTGGAAAATCTGCACTGGACCAATAGCCTGCTGGGAGAAAGAGTTTGGGAGAAAGCTGTTTTCTTATCGCAAACAGACCCTTGTAGGGACTGGTGTGGCCTCACCCAGGCAGGAAAATGTTGCAATGATTCCATAGGAGAATCCTCTGTGAGGGAAGAGCAGTCTGGCTGAATCCGTCTTAGTCAGGTTCACTAGAGAAACAGAACCAGTAAGATAGATGATATAGATAGATTGTTGTCAGTTGCCATCAAGTTGATCCCTGACTCGTGCACAATGGAAAACAAATGCTGCTTGGTCCAGCACCATCCCCATGATCAACTGGGGATCAGACTATTGTGGTCCATAGGGTTTTCATTGGCTGATTTTTGGAAGTAGATCACTAGACCTTTCTTCCTAGTCTATCTAGTCTGGAATCTTTGCTGAACCTGTTCAGCATCATAACACACAAGCTTCCACTGACAGACAGGTGGTAGCTGTACTTAAGGGCGATTGGCCAGGAATTGAACCCAGATCTTCTGCAGAGAGGGCTAGAATTCCATTATTGAATCACCAATGCTGACATATTTTTGGAGAAATATGTATGGAGAGAGAGTGAGAGAGAGATTTTAACAGAGACAGAGAATTATTTTGAGGGATTTCCTCACATGATTGTGGAGGCTGGCAAGTCCAAAATCTGCAGATCAGACAACAGGCTGGAAATTCCAGCAGTCTGTGCCCCATGTTGGTAGATCAGTGGTGAGAAAGTAAGAGGAATTCTGGCAGAATGTCATGTAGTCTATAAGTAATAGTCTGGAGGCAGAATCCTCCCTTGGGAAACTTCTCGTTTTGCTCTAAGGACCTTCAACTGATTAGATAATGACCAGCCACCTTATGAAAGGTAATGTGCTTTACTTCAGGCCAACTTATTTAGATGCTAATCACATGTAAATATTTCACAGCAACATCTAGACTAGTATTTGATCAAGCAACTAGCCAAGATGATGCATAAAATTAACTATCACAGTCCACCCCTTGTCAACTTGGCACATCTCCTTGAACCAACAATAACAAAGTCCTTCTTGCTGTTGGGTGCCATCAAGTCAATTCCATCTCATATGACAGAGTTGAACACATCTATAGGATTTCCTCAGCTATAATCTTTATGAAAACGACAGCCAGGTCTTTTCTCCCATGGACAGCTTGTAGGTTTGAACCACTGACCTTTGGGTTAGCAGAGTGCGGTGTAGTAAATTACCTGGTATGGCTTTTCTAGCCATAAGTCTTTGTAAACTCCATCGTGGGATTTGCTATGAGAAACTGAGTAGCTTCTGATTGTTAAAATCATCCACCTGGGGTATTCTGTTGTGAGCAGCACAAAGTAATGTTCTAGGAAGTTCACTCTCTCTCAGGTGCTTAGAATTCTGATGTTATGGTTGGCTAGTTTGGCACTCTGCCAGGCTCAAAAGGAGGCATCCTAGAGGCAGAGGTCTCTCTGACTGCTGGCTGAGAAGGACGTGCTGCAGAGAGAAATGCGCTGCTGAGGGAAACTCACTCCTGAGAGAAACGCGCTCTTGAGAGATACGCACTGCTGGGAAAGAGACATAAGAGACACACATTGCTGAGAGCGACACATACTGCTGTGAGAGACTGTTGACTGAGAAACAGTGGGCTGAGAGAGACTAAGCATTGTTCCTGAACTTGAATTGTAGCCTGGTGCTTCCCTATTAAACCCTATAATCTGTGAGTTCTGTGTGGCCACTGCAGGGAGTTATCGAACCCAGCAGAAAGGTGGTGGGGGCTGTAGGAGGAACCGCTGGTTTCAGGGTTGATGAAAGGGCTGGAGAGAGGCAGCATGTCTGTCCTTGCAGGTATAGGCCTTGGGCTATTGATGGTGATTCTGTCTTCCTCTTGTCGGGTTAGAGGAGGTCAGGAGATGTGGCCTCCCTGCCCCCTTGGCACAGAGGAGCACCTAACCATTGAGCTACCAGGGCTCCTTAACATGGTACAACTCTCCTTCCTATAACCTGCACACACCAGCCTACCATAAGTGCTCACACAGAGTGTGACTGAGGCCTGGCCCTACTGTGTCTAGGCATGAAAAGAGCTGCACACTTAGAGTCAGATTAGAAACCCCTGCCTCTGCATAGCCCATTAACAATTTGGACAGGGAAAGTTTCAAGACCGAAATACAGAATCAGAGTGAGTGAAGGATTAAAGTAAAACATTGGATAAAAAGAGATGTTACTTTTTGTGTGTGCATTCAGCATAGTCAGCCTCACAAGGAGGTCCTCGTGTCTGCTCAGATCTGTGCTGTTCCCTGGGATCACCTAGGGCTAAGGCAGGGTCGGATACTGCTTTCGGGTTTCCCACCCTTGCCGCCCCCGCCCCCGGCCATTGCGCCTACCTCACAGGGCCTGGCAACAACATAATCTTGCTTGTATTCAGTGCATACCAAAGCATTCTCAAGAAACAATCTCTACTTTCTGCAAAGTAGCCACCACAGGGATGCACTCTTTCTTTGTCTGGGATCAGGAGGCCTACCTGAATAACCAACTGCAGGAGAGTAGATTCTGACCGGGGATACTTCCTCCTTTTACCTGAGCCGCGCAGAAGTCACTTCTGAAGCTGGCCACTAGATGGTAATGGAGCTTCTTAGGAAGATAGACTACGCTACAAACAAAACCCACTTCCATCCAGTCGGTTCCGATTCTTAGCGACCCTAACGAATGGAGTAGTACTGCCCCGTAGGGTTTCCAAGGTTGTACGTTTTTAAAGAAGCAGACTCCCTCGTCGTTTTTCCACAAGCGGTAGGTGGGTTTGAATTGCCAACCACTTGGTTGGCAGCCAAATTGTTTAAACACTGCACTACCAGACCTCCTTATAGCCGACAATAAAGACTGCTTATCGTTCAGTGGTTCTTCCCGGCGATTGCTGCCCACCTGGCCTGCCCATGTGGCAGGGGTAGAGAGAGGGACGCCAGCCACGTACCTTTTGACTATCAGTCGAAATGACATTTAAAAATCTTTTTTAAAAAATGATTTAAAAAAATAGAAACTGACACAGATTCACTGAGGTAACAGATACTTAAATTGTCAACTTCAGAGGTTGGGGCAAAAACGCCTGCTGTTGACACAGAGTGATGGAAAGGAACAGAAGAGGCAGGCTCTTCAGGAATGTTTGGGATGATCAATTACTGAGAACCACCATCCTGATAGGCAGGCATTTTGAGAGTCGTGAGGAGTAAAAAATTGAAGAGGCATCCTTATAAAGAGGAAATGATAGAAAACAGTGTTTCAACTCACTGAAACCTCAAGACAACCCTTTATCTTTGAGATACTTTATCATTTTACAGGAGCTCTGGTGGCATAGTGCTTAAGGCATTTACTGCTAACCAGAAGACTGGAGGTTCAAACCCACCAGCCACTCCTCTGAAGGAAGGTGGGCAATCTACTTCCATAATGATACTGCCTTGGAAACCCAAGTAGGGGTCTCTTTGAGTCAGATCTGACTCCACGACAGTGAGTTTTATCATTTTACATGAAAGTTGTGACTTGCTAGATTCCACAGGAATGAATTTCTGCATCCTGGCTTGACCATCTAGTTACTAAAGTGACTTAGAGAGAAAGACTTAAAGAAAGAAAGAAAGATTTGAGGAGTTTGTTCACATGATTGTGGCATCATGTGGCCAAGACAGGGTGCAGAAATGGAAATGAGGAGAAGGTAAGGAGAAAGGACAGATGGGTTAAGGTTAGAGAAGTGCAGGAAGAATGAACTTAAGGAGAAGAATGCTATAGAGCAGCCGGGAGGCCATGAGAATGGGAGGCCACCAGCTTGGCTCTCTCCTCAGAGTCTTGGGCAGGAAGGCGTAGCGCTCTCTATAAGCCTAACTCAGGGCTCTTCCCCTTTGGACCACACTCTCCTACCACCCCAGATGAAGTCGTTCCCCTGTTACACTTCCTATTTTGTTCCTATTCACTTACAAGAATCATTTTACCCGCAAGAATTTGTTTTACTCCTCAATGGCAGAGGCATCATATGCCAGATACACATGCAGAGTAATAATTACTGAAGCTGCAACTTGTTTCTGCAAGGTCCAATATCTAATCTGGGAGACCAGTGATTGTCAATTATTAAAATCCTGGTGGTTTTACTTATATTTATTTTGCAGCACTTTTTTGTGCTTCTTATCCTTATATAAATTATAGATGACATTGAGAAGAATGGGAATTCCCTTCATGATTGTACTCATGAGGAAGGAACCTGTACCTTGACCAGGAGGCTGCTGTTCGAACGAAACAAGGGGACACTGCATGGTTTAAAATCAGGAAGGGAGTGCATCAGTGTTGTATCCTTTCCCCATACTTATTCAATCTACATGCTGAGCAGATAATCCGAGAAGCTGGACTATATGAAAAAAAATGTGGCATCAGGATTGGAGGAAGAATCATTAACAACTTGAGATACGCTGATAATACAACTTTGCTTGCTGAACGTGAGGATGACTTGAGGCACTTACTGATGAAGACTGAGGAACACAGTCTGCAGTATGGATTACATCACAATATAAAGGAGACAAAAATCCTCACAACTGGACCAATAAACAGCATCACGATAAATGGAGAGAAGATTGAGGTTGTCAAAGAATTCACATTGCTTGGTTCTACAATCGAGGCCAGTGGAAGCAGCAGTCAGGACATTAGATGCAGTGTAGCACTGGGTAGGTCAGCTGCAAAGGAACTGTTTCAAGTGCTGAGGAGCAAGGATGTCTCCTTGAGGACTAAGGTGTGCCTGACACAGGCCATGATATTTCCAATCGCCTCTTATGCCTGTGAAAGCTGGACAATGAATAAGGAAGACCGTAGAAGGGTTGATGCTTTTGAGTTGTGGTGCTGGCAAAGAATGCTGAAGGTACCATGGACTGCTAAAAGAACTAACAGATCTGTCCTGGAGGAAGTGCACCTGAAATGCTCCTTGGAAGCAAGGATGGCCAGACTTCATCTCACCTACTTTGGTCATGTTGTCAGAGGGGACTATTCTCTGGAGAAGGATGTCATGCTTGGTAAGCTGGAGGGAGGGTCGACGAAAGAGGGCCTTTGACGAGATGGATTGACATGATGGCTGCGACAATGGGCTCAATAGCGAGGATCATGGAGCTGGCACGGGATTGGGGTGTGTTTCGTTCTGCTGTGCGTGGGGTCGCTATGAGTCTGAAGTGACTCGATGGCACCTAACAACAACAACAACATCCTTATACTGTGATGCATGATGCAGGTGAGAAGTTGAGAGGAACTCTGAGTGTGCTCCTCCCTGCCTTTGCTTTTCTTCTTTTTTAACAGCTACCAAATTAGCAGATAAATAAATGCAACCAATAGGAAAGTGCACATTCTTCTGCTTTACAAATTTGATCGATTCATAGTGGGCAGCAAACCAGTGGAATAGAAAACTGGTAAAACAGGCCTCAAAGCACCCGTCTTTTGTGAAATTATGATGAGGGGTTGTTCTGGTTACCTAGTGCTGCTCTGACAAGAAAATGCCACAAATGAGATGGCTTGAACAATCAGGAGTTTATTCTTACAATTTGGAGGCTTTAAGGCCAAGTTCCAAGTGCTAGGCTCTAGGGGCTGGGTGAAAGCCCTTCAACCTTGGGCTTCAGCTCTGCCTCTTGCTCCCAGCCCACTGAAGCTAGAGGCATCTCTCCACTCAGGCAGCTTTTGGCTGCTGAGGCTAACAAGCCCAAGGTCGACAAATAAATTGGCACAGTCCCAATGTTACCAAACCACATGGCAGGCCATTAATTCAAGTCCATTGAAAGTCCCAAGGTCAGCAGAGCATGGCAGGCTGCTGAGCAATGACACAGCTACATGCAGGGTTCAAGCGTGCCATAGCTAGAGACCATTCCCCCAACCTTCTGCTTATATACGGGAAGCAGACCACATCTCTAAAGCAGCTACCCAGCTGCTCACAGTAGATTCCACCATGGAGTTGATTACCAGTCTCATCATGGGGAATACATCCAGCTGCCCAGCCACTCATCTAGGCCTAGCCAAGTTGACACACAAACTTAATCACCACAGGGATCTATAGGAAAAACTCAACTAGCCATGGAGCAAATTTCTTAGGTCTTACAGAGAAGATTTTTAATATACACAAGACTGAAATTCTAAGTTGCAAAGCTATCACGGCTGGACTTCTAGGAAGATCTTGAGTTTTCTTCATTTACAAAGTCTATAAATTTTGGATTATCCCATAATTATCATAATCAGGGAAACAATGGACACAAGTCTTGATTCTCATGTAAAAGCAGAAAGAGGAAGACTTGGGACTCCATTAAGAGTGGATCCTCAAATACCATAGTCGGGCTGAAAAATGGAATGAATACAGCTAAAGATCAAATTGGTAATCTGGAGAATCTAACTGAGGAATTATCCCAGAACATAACATAAAAAGACAAGAAAATAGAAAGCATGAAATAGAAGTTAAGGGACATGGGAGACAGAGAAATTGCAAAAGATATCAAGTAGAAATCTAACAAGAAAAAACAGAATGGCGGCTATTTTCTACTAAATACCAGAGATGGTGCCTTTGAATTGTGAGGTTGGCGAAGAATGCTGAAAATACCATGGACTACCAGAAGAATGACCAAATCTATTTTGGAAGGAGTGCAGCCAGAATGCTCCTTTGAAGCGAGAATGGCCAGACTTCATCTCACCTACTTTGGTCATGTTGTCAGAAGGGACCATTCCCTGGAGAAGGATATCATGCTTGGTAAAGTGGAGGGTAAGCAAAAAAGGGGAAGGCCCTCAATGAGATGGACTGACACAGTGGCTACAATGATGGTCTCAAGGATTGTGAGAATGGTGTAGGACCAGGTAGTGTTTCATTCTGTTGCATATAGGGTTACTATAAGTCAGAGCCAACTCAATGGCATCTAACAACAACCAGAAGAAATTCTTTCAAAACTGAAGAAACGCATATATGGGGAAATGAGTTCTTTATATGGCTTTTTGCCTTGCTTCTTTGAAAAAGAGAAGAGGTTAAAAAAAAAAAAACAGTTTGGCAGATTATTCCCCTGGCCTGTGAAGAGTTGTTATAGTTGCCCTAGTCCTCTGGAGAAGCTTGTTACTTTTGTCCAGGGAAGAGGCCAGCAGAAAATGTCAGCTATTATTCAAATAGCTGTGAAGGAATCGGTCAGTTACGTCCAAAGAGGGGATTAGTCAGTTATTATGCAAATGGGGTGTGTAAAATCTGCCCACTTGCCTATATAAGTACCCATCCACAGAGGCCAGGTGTGGGAGAGACCAAGCCCAAGTAGGGGCAGAGGCCAGATCTGAGTAGGGACCCAGCTTCACCAGCTGAGAAGAAGCTGTCCTGATGGAAGAACTGTGTTGTTGTTGT